AATTATAGAACGTTTTCATCCTCCCAGCAGGCTCTCTTGTACCTTTCACAGGCAGTATCTGAGGGTAACAGGCTAACTGCTGTTCAGAGATCTCTCACTATTGATTAGTCCTGCCTGTTGTCAAATTTCACATCAGTGGAATCATACAGTACGTCATATTTTGGGTCTGGCTTCTTTCACTCAACATTCTCACTGTGAAGCTCATCTGTGTTATTAGGTATAGTTCTTTTTATAGCATTTGCTATTTAATTACGACATTAATAATGACAATAAATAATTTGTATAGTACTTTCCAATTCACTGTTTGATTCTGAAGATACCTCTGTGATGCCAAAGCACTTAGCATTAGACTTTTTTTAGAGACAGAATTGCTGCTTAGAGTCTTTCAGTATTTCCCCCGAGGTCACCCACCTAATAAATGATGATGCCAGGACTAGTTCCATTTTTAAAAATATTTATTTTTTTATTGACAGTATTACATATGTCTCCCATTTCCCCCCTTTATCTCCTTCTTCCAAGCCCCTATAATTGCCCAGGTCTTTACCACCCTATTGCTCATTTCAATGGGCTATGCAAATATATATATATATATATATATATATATATATATATATATATATATATATATATATATGTTTCTTAAAAAAACAAAACTCATAACATCATTCTTTCCATTTACCATGAAGTTGGTGGAAGACATAAAGAATAATAGGAGAGAGGGTCCCAAACTGGCCCTTCATTGGTGTCCTACTGTGTGGTATTTTGGTTACTTGAAAGAAATTAAGGTTCAACCCAGCATGTGCATAGTATATAATGGATGGGGAGGGAGGGGAGAAAAGTAGCCAACTTGGCTCAGCAGCCATCCACATACTGGCTGCTCCACTTATCAGAAAGCAGACTATGCTAGTTTACTGGTAGTTCCCAGTTGCATGCAAATTATGCATTTGCCCAATGAGGCTGCTGTTTGCAGGTTGCTAAATGTGTCACAGAGAAATTTTGCTAGAGTGGAATTATTGGGGCTGTATGGCCTCCAGATGGGGGGGAGCCATCTTGGGCTTTGAACAGCATGGTGCTTTGGGAAGCAGGAGTGGTATGAGTCCTCCTTTCTCTTTATTTGGGCGGTCCTTGCCACACGGCTCAGGTGTTGATGCAGCATCAATATCTTATTGATGGCCTTAATTTTACTGTATATGCCGAGTTTCCATTGTTAAAGCATCAGCTTTGAGATAAAGAGAAACAGGGTTTCCTTTATCTCCTAAAGCAATGTTCGGCAAACTCATTAGTTGACAGCCAAATATCAACAGTACAACAATTGAAATTTCTTTTGAGAGCCAAATTTTTTAAACTTAAACTGCTTCTAATACCGCTTTTTCAACATAGATCCACCCAGGCCATGGTATTTTGTGGAAGAGCCACACTCAAGGGGCCAAAAAGCTGCATGTGGCTCGCGAGCCGCAGTTTGCTGACCATGGTCCTAAGAGTTTTGCTGATACCCAATTATTCTTTAGTGTTTTGAAGTAAGTGCCATAATTGCTGATTTATATATGTAGGATTTCTATAAGCCCTATGGCCCACACATCTGGCCCAGGGTGTGGCCTCTACCACTGAGATCCAGATTCTTAACATAATAGTTAAAAGCATAGGCTTAGTGGTAAAAAAGTTGAGTTGAGGGTTGGGGGCTAGAAACACTCAAATCTATATAGGAAATCCAGTGTCCTACCACCTGGATCAGAACCTTGGAGAGCTCCAGGTAGCCAGATGCTGGCAGCTGGAGGCAGGAGTTACTCCAGTGCCAATTCCACCCTCCTCTGCAGCAAAGAGCTTTTTGTGTATGGGTGATAAGAGACTCCCAGGATTTGGGCCTCAGTACTCATGGGCTTATAGAGAAAGCAGTAGTGCATTATTCAGACATGGTGGGAAGTGAAGATCTCCACTGGAGGCAAGGTGAGGTGATTTTGAGTCTCCTTGCTAAAGACAGGAGAGCAGTTTTTCCTGAGAGGTGAGGTGTAGCAGGAGAGCTCTGCTGCAGCAAATGTCGGCATGCAAGTATCTATTTGAGTCCCTGCTTTCGTTCTTCGGGGTATATACCTAGGAGTGGAATTGTTTAGTCATATGGTAGTTCTGTTTTCCACAGTGACTGCACCATTTTACATTTCTACCAGCAATGTAAAAGGGTCCAATTCTCCACATCCTCATTAACACTGTTTTCCTTTTTATAAAAAAAAAATCCAGCTATCTTAGTGGGTATGAAGGGGTATTTCATTATGATTTTGATTTGTATTTCCCTAATGACTAATGGTGTTGAGCATGTAATTAGGAGATTATTTGCCATTTGTATATCTTCTTTGGAAAAATGTTTACTCAAGTTATTTGCCTGGTGTTCATGGGTTTGTTTGTGTGTTTTATAACCCTTACCAGAGGATATTTTCCCATTGATTTTTAGAGAGCATGAAAAGGACAGAGAGAGACAGAGAGAAACATAGATGTGAGAGAAACACACTGATCGGTTGCCTTCTGTACAGGCCCCAACATGGGGAGGGAGCAGGGATTGGGTATGTGCCCTTGACTGGAATTGAACCTGTGACCTTTCAGTCCCGGGCTGAGGGTCTATCCATGGAGCCAAACCAGCTAGCGCTGGTGTTCATGTTTCTAAGGCAGTATGGGAGGAATGGAGAGAAACAGAGAAATTGAGGAAGTAGATAAAGCCCAACTGGGTGATTGGTTAGTTATGGGGCTAACACTGGTTTTTCCAGCCTGGGTAAGTGGGTAGATAATGGACTACCACACAGAATAGTTCCCTTTATCCAAGAGAAAAGGGATAGGATGGAGGGGAGATGTTGGGGTTGAGTGGCGCTATGTTGAGCCTGGTGTATCTGGGTGTTGTGCAGGCAGAGAGCAAGATGTACCGCCCATACGTGTGTCTGATTGATTTCTTCAGAAAAACACAGGCCACGTTATGTTTTGTCCTCTCCCTGCTTTCATCTAAAAATCAGCTTGAGAAATTTGGTCATCATTAGGCTTCTCAACCTGGCAAATGTAAAAAAATCATTGTGGGAACAAAGGACTCTGGGATGTATGAACCGACACCTCTCCTGGTGCTGGTTTCTCTGCTCTTAAACACTTGCTTAACCAGATCAGCCTTTCCAGGTACATGGAGTGCTGCTCTGAAGCCTGGCCTGCAAGCACCCTTAACAAACCGTGGCTTCTGAAGCCATCTCTGATAACCACCCCAGTCTCTCAAGCATTTGCCCCTTCCTGCCTCTTCCCCAACTGTGTGCCATTAGCTGTTAGTGCTAAGCAAATGCTTGTCATATCACTCAGCCCACCGAATTTCTCTGAATTACTACACGGCAACGTTGGATGCTACAACACTGTATTACGTGATGTCCAGTCATATCCACAATGCAAGGGACAGTGAAGTTTGAGCAACTGTTCTCCCCCCAAAGAACCAGCTGTTAGAGAATGAGCCCCCATGGCGGTTTGTTTTCTTTACTTGTAGAGCCATAGTCTGGCAGCCGCCACTAAGAAAGCATCTCATCATGTGCCTCAGGCAGGCAATGTTTGCAGATTGTCCCCTGATGCCATCTGCCTGTGAAGCTGCAGAAACCCCCAGCAACTGCTGTTTTAGCAGGTGCTGGGCTGCTGAGGTGGGAGTCCATGTGCATATACATGAATGCACACAGCTTTGTGCTGTGCTGGCCTGGGGTGCCAGCTGAAACTCGCAAGCCAGCAAAGCGCCAGCCCCAGTTGCTGGTTTCCGGTGGGGCCCTGGTGAGGGAGGCGGGGAGGGAGAGAGGGAAGGAGGGTGAGGCTGTTGTGAACCCAGCCAGCCATTCAGCAACTGGGACTTGACTACAGTAATGCTGGTGTGTATGTAGGAAGCTGCCAGGCAGTGGCTGTGTTTTGACAAGCTTTTGTTCTTGTCCTGCTTCTGTCCAGGCCAGATTGTGGTCCCCTACCTAATTTACCATCTTCATGTTCATTCCATAGAAGTAGCCCTTCCCCAGTTCTTGCCCCTTTGTTCTTTCTAAAGAACATTTTTCATCCTTGAGCCTTCCTCCCACTCAGCCATGCATTGGGTCTAGCCCTTAGCTCTCTTTTTCACCAAGTCATTGTGATTACAGGTTCACACAAGCTCCAGATCTGCAGTTTGTGAGTTATTATCATTTCAGGTTAATGATGCTTTTGAAAAGAATTATGTGAATTAATAAAGTAATCTGAAATCATAATATCAGCCATCAGGTTTTAAAAATCTATATGTTAATGGAGCTTTGATACAAGAACTCCTGGAGCAAACTTTTTCTGTAAAGAGCTGTGTATTTTAGGCTTTGATCTCTCTCTCAACTACTCAACTCTGCTATGTAGCCTCAAAGCAGCTGTAGAAAATACTTAAGCCAACGAAGGCATTTTTGCTTTAATGCAAGTTTACTTATAAAACCAGGGGGCAGGTTATAGTTTGCTGACCCCAGGCCTAGAATGACAATCTTTATGTCACTTATTATCCTTATATTTTTCTTTGTTATGAGTTAAAAAGCCAGAGAACTTGATAACTGTAAATGAACTTAAATCGTATTCTTTTGGATTGAGCATAATTGGGAGCACAATGGTGATTTGGGAATTTACTTCTCTAAACCCCTATTGGGAAGAATAGAAACCAGAAGGCTTTTAAGGGATGACTCTGCTTGGCCAAAGCTTGCCATTGTTAAAAAAGTAGAACGGACTGTCACAGCTGTGTGGTTATGGCCGCTTGGAATGGCATAGTCACATAAGGTCACATCACCATGTCGGCCATCATTTCATCTTATGGGACCAGATGCGTCTCTGAGAAACTTAAGGGGAAAAAACTACAAAAATATAGAAAATGGTGTTTTTAAAACATCCTGGTATACGGAGTTGAGATCATTGTAGTTGATTGTCAGAAAACTGAAGCATAAGATAGTCAAAGAAGCATTTTAAAATACCAAACTACAATCTTGTTTTCATCTTATCTGTCCTCACAGGAAATAAAGAAAGAGATGAAGAAAGACCCTCTCTCCAGCAAAGCTCCAGAAAAGCCCATGCACGAAGTGTCCAGTGGAAATGCTTTGCTGTCTTCTGAAACAATTCTGAGAACCAACAAGAGAGGTATGGAAAAAAAAGAAAGAGCCCCTTTCCCCCACACAAACATAAACCAAGACTACCGGGTGAACTATGTCAAATTCCACATTGCCAAAAAATTGACTGGCATTTGTCCTTTTGGGTTTTTTAGTATACACTTTGCACACACACACACACACACACACACATACACACACACACACACACGGCCAGTAACAATACAATAACTATAATAAAGGGAACTAATAATATTTTTTGACAGTGGGAAAGTAAACTACGTTTGTGAATGATGATTTTTCTAGGACTTCAGCTTTTGCTTTCATATCTGTTTTTAAGGATGGAAGATGACTTTAGAGAATGCTATGGTGCAGGCTGTGTTCATGTCTGGCCATGCGCTCTTTTTTAATTTCGGGGCAGGCTTTATCAAGATCTTTCTATCTCTAACTGCTGGGCTCCTGAGCACACCTGGTCTCTGTCAGTTCAGGAGGCAGTACATATAAGGTAGAGCTCATTCATCCATCTAACCAAGAAATCTTTAACCAGCTTGTTTCCCTCTCTTGAGACCTCGAGGCAGATTTTTAGGTATTAGCTTGCTGGAGTTTTGTTTTCTCCTCTACCCCCCTCCGCTTTCTGACATTGTTGTTTGAAACGATAGGAGAGAGAATATAAGGCTGCAGAGAGGATTCGACTCAATTTTAGATTCTGGTCACACCAGACTCCCTGTTTTTCCCCCCGACCCTGCCCTCCTGGTGGATCAACCAGGACACACATTAAGCCTGCCGGAGGTAGGTTAGCATCAGCTGCAGGCTTTTCACAGGCTTATTACTTCCTTAAAGAGAAATATAGAGCTGTTCAAAAGCAGGGGCAGGAAATGTATTAGCAAAGAGTTCCATTTAAAAAAAAAAAAGGCAAGTTTACATAACCACGGGGAAGAACACCTAATCTTTCATAAAATGTAGACAGCCTAAAAATTTGTCCAATAAACTGTCCATTGATCATAGTGCTTGAGCCATTGCTTTGTGTGTCTCTTCCTTCCTTCTTCTTCCTCTACTCCCTCCAGCTGCCCTGGGTTACGTTTCCTTTTTATAAAAAATTATTCAGATTAAATATTGGCTGGAGGCCCACAATGGTTAGCAGCTATAGGATCTCCCCTCCCCTCTCTTTCCCTCCACTCCTCTCCCTTTCCCTCCCCTCTTCTTCCTTCCCCTCTTCTCCTTCTCCTACCAATGTAGGAGACTGCCCATTTTAAGAATTAAGTGTAATTTGCTGTAAACCTACAGTTGTCCCCCAAAGTGTCTCCTACTTTCTTGCAAATAAGTTCCAGAGCTCCTGAGGCCAGCCTGCTCTCATTGGGTTTGGACAGCTTAGAGCTCAGTGAGTGTCTGTCCATGTCTCCAAACCCCTGCTGATCTGAGGCCTCCTTTCCTCCTGATGCTGCTGGGGGCCCTGAGCTGAGGTACATATTGATCAGCGGCGAGGCCTCTCTGCTAGCCCTGCTTTTGTAAAGTAAATAAGACAATTAAGGTAATTAATGAAATTTCACAAGATAAGAAATTAATTAAGGAATTAAGGTAATTATCTGGATGAGTTTGGTAAAAATACCGGAGAACTTCAAATCAATAAAGGGATCGAACTTTTTAGTTAATTGTCTCTTTACAACTAAAAATCTGGCCTTGGAGGTCCCCTATGAAATTCTTCATTAACCAAAAAATGGAATTAAAAAGAATAGCTTACTGGCTATGTTCCTTTTTGGAACCTTCACCTTAGGCCCGCAGCCTGATTCTGATCAACATATTACTCTTAGGTATATTATAGAGGGAATCTGGCAGTGGCTTTGAGACCTTAGCACATGGGGCGTTCTGTAAATATGAAACATTTAGCAAAGCATCTTCATGCTGTCCCAGGCTTCATGCTGACCCCTGGGTCGCCTGGGCCCAACATAAATTTCCAGTTGAAGGGAAGCATTGTGTGCCAGGCCCAGTGCCCTTTGCGGCCCTGCCCCCGCCCATCAAGACTACCAGGATCCTACTACTCCTTATACTGAACAGCGGGTGGATTGATTGGCCTTGTAAGGCCAGATAAATAGTTCATTGTGTTGAGCTCAAAAGCTACATTTTCCCCCCATCCCCAAATCAATGAAAAACCACTTTTTTCCCCCTTAAAACAAGGATCAGAGGCTAAATCTGTGGGATGATTCTAGTCACTTGGAAACACTTCCGTCCAACCAATTTTTCAAGTTTGAAGAAGTTATTTGTAAATGACCAAAGTCTCCTCCTTCCCTTTGTTTCCATCCAGCTTGGTCCCTAAAAATCTGTTAGATGTTTTTGTCTATGGTTGTTGTTATGGAGGGAAGTTGCTTTCAGAGTTTAGTAATAGCCTGCTTTGATTTCTTACAGTATGTGAGCCTGCCCTGTGAGGATTTAAGAGTTAACACAAGTTCTTTTCATTTATCAAAAATGAGATGACTATTTATATATGGGCCTTATCAGTTGATATAGGCTTAGCGTTGATTTAATAAAGGAAGAGTGAAGTCTGGTTTCTATAACGAGTCAAGTTCGCTGGGTGCTGAACTTGAGACAGACTTAGCTGAAGAAGTTTGCCCGATTGTGTCCAGCGGATTTTGCATTTGGTGACATGCCTCACTTTTCGGCAGAGGTGAATGGGTTGTAGGGCCTCACAGTGTGGGCTGAGCTCACCCTCCCGAGGCACCTGCATAATAAGGTCAGAAGATACCCCACGTTTGAAGAAAGCTATTCATAGCCTTGAGAAAGGCCAGGGCTGTGGAAAAATCAGTGTGGGGAGTGATTAGTTTTCGTTTTCAGCTTTAACCTTTGCAGGTTTCTGCAGAGTTGATTTAAGGAGGTATTGGAATGACTCCGTAGGCTTTTCATTTGAGAAAAAGATGTGACTGAAATGGAGAGAGGAGAGAGGAGAGAGGAGAGAGGAGAGAGGAGAGAGGAGAGAGGAGAGAGAGAGAGAGAGAGAGAGAGAGAGAGAGAGAGAGATATGCAGGTCCTCCAGATGGCTTGGCTGTCATCAGCTGTCCATTTCAGGCATTAGGACTGTAAGGACCGTTTTATTTGCTCCACCCTTGGCCACTTCTCTGGGCTTTACCTAAGTCACAGTGAAGGAGCTTCCTGTTTAAAACAAGCCTTCCCCAAGAACCAAGAAGTCATTTTTCATTTCAACTTGCAGCATGGATATTGTATATCCTAAAGTTATCCCAGGCTCAGAATGTTGACAAATTGGAACTATAAATCTGAAAATTTTTCTTGGAGACAAATGTCATTCTCATGAACCAGACTGAAAAAGGTTGTCTGTGTTTCCTTTGGAGAGTGATTTATCATTTTGTTTTTTCTATTATTGAAACCATATGAGAACGATGGCCCCTTCTAAATTGCAACATTACTATAGGGAGGAGTTTTGTAAAAAATACATTCACACCTTAGTTTAACAGCAGATATGCTAAATAATACTTGAAATTGAGTAAGGAGGATTTTGTCTATTTGAATATGGACTCTTTTCTACTTGAATCAAAATGAAATAAGAAATCATTTCGTTTCATCCTTAGATGGGTTTCTAGACCAACTTTATTCAGTTGGTAGGTTAAGTCCCCAGTCCCCTGCTGGCCTATGTAAGGACCAGCTTCTGTCTCAGGGCTCTCGTTTCCCAGTTCTTGCCTTGTTAGTGGGCATCATGGAGAAGCTGCTTCTCACCAAGCACCTCTTGCTGCCTATAATTTTGGACAATGTTCCTTCCTCACTTTTGTGAAGATACAAATGAGCATTCAATAGCATGTTTCCTGCATACCTGCTATGGGCCTGCCCTTGTGCTTGGTGTTGAGGCCGATAGAAGGAGCAGAAAAACACCATGCAACCCTGTCTGCAAGCAATTCCAGTTGGTTCTGTCACTTGGGGAATGTTGAGAAAATGCTTCATGTTTTATATCTTTTTTATGGCAATGTGGGGATATGTCTCTTACTTACTTCTGTCATTCTGAATGTGAAGCCATTCCGCAAGTTTCTGGTTGGCTTTATATGTCCTTGTTTCTATTTCCAGTTTATCATGAATTCAGTGTTTGGTAAGTCTCTATTGTATTTTGCACATTTATTATTTTTTGCTATTATTATTATTATTATTATAGTTGTTGTTATGCTCTCTTGATATAAAATGTACTTTATAATCATCTTTTTAAGTCGCGCTGCTACTTGGCATCTGCCTTTGAAAAGATAAACTGCTTTTACCATCTTTATTTAACGTTTGTTATGCATTTGCACTTTACCTCCGTTTCCAGAGATTAATGCTGAAAGGTCAAATGGTTTCAAAGATGTTATTTGTAACACCAATGCTCTAACACTGAGGCTCTGAGATGAGAGTCAAGTTGAACTGGGGGAGGGTTGCTCTCTGACTTGGTATGTGGATATGACTTTGATTGTAAAACATTTCTCTGTGGGCTCATTTCTCATGTGTTTTGTCCTTCAGACAGGTTTAATTCAAAAGTTTTCCTTAACAGAGGGATCAACAGCTGCTCTGCCTCTGGTGACACACTGTTGCTTTAAAAATTAGTGCAGAAATTCTTCAGACTTCATTTTGTGTGTGGATGGGTAACACACACATGCCCTTCAACATTAATATGGGCCTAGTGTTTGCTGCAAAGAGGGATCTCCATTTTGGTCTGCTGCTGGTAACTGTCAGAAGAAATTTTACCTAATGTTTGTTTTCCTTTTTCTTATAATTTCAGCACTAGTCATTTTAATCCCTAAACAGATCGGGCCATAGTGACTTCCCTCCTTTATTTCTGCTGAAGGGGAAATGTTTATTTCAAGCTTTCATTTCTTTACCATTTACTTGGCTACTTGGAATAGTCTTGTCCAGGTACCTTTGGCTTGTTCCTTAGAATATGAGTGAATGTGCGCATGTGTGTGAATGTGCATATGTTGGCATGGAACCCTCATGTTGTCTCTGAGGCACTGGTCTGGATCTTGATAGACAGTTGGCTTTTTGCTTGAAATGAAACTATAAACAAAG